TTTTTTGTCAGTGCTTATTCTGTTCTGGATGCTTCATCTCTTTAATTTAGTACTCATGCACAGGGTGATGGGTTAGCTGGCAGCAGATGCTGATGTAAGCAGTGGGCTCAACTTCCTTGGTGAAGATGGGGGGCTCTCTATCTTTTGATCATGGGCACCTCTAAATAACCTCTCCCATTGTGTACCATTGTGGGCAGGAAGCCAGCCATTTCCCTGTGTTGTCCATCCATCTGAAGTATTCTCCTTGTCCTACTGCCCTTGTAGTTCTTTTTGGTCCTAGTGCTCATCTGTCTTGGGCCTAAGTTGGATTCAACAGCCCTCTCTCACAGCACCATGGTCTTTTTTCACTGCCTCCCAGTTGTGCAGCCCACAAATTCCCGTGGCCAATCTGCACCACCTTAGAAATTGGGCTACACATGACAGTGTATAGGGTTAGCAGACAATGTTTCTACGTGTGTATTTGTATGTGTTATAAGAATGTCCGGGTGTATAGTAGAGCTGACAAGGGGCAAAGATGTGGTGGCTTCTCGGCCACAGCCAGCTACCCTGAGGGAGCGAGTAGTCCCAACTGAGTCCCTGCAGGCTCAGGACCATGGTCATAGGGGACATCAAGCTCAATTGGCATAACATCCTACACAAAAACTTTGTTCTACATTGTACTTTGGTGAGTAGTGACTAGGGTTTTAAAAGCTTGTAAATGACCATATAGATGCAATGATGGGTCTCTCCTCGTCCAGAGCAACAAGGAATGAAGAAAACCAAAGATACATGGAAACAACTAGTCCAAGGGACTGGTAGACCATGCAGTCCTTAACCTATATGATCATAAGACCAGAAGAACTAAACAGTGCCCAGCTACCACTGTCAACTACTCGGGGGAGGATTCTTTGCTGGAGATCTTTGCTAGAGTGGGAGAACTATGTGGAACAAAACTCAAAATCAGGAAAAAGAAGACCAGGTTTGCTGGTCTGATAAAGCCTGGTGAGACCCCTGAGACTCTGGCCCCTAGATACCTTTTAGGTCTGGAATTGAACTCATTCTTATGGCTTCCAGCCAAACAATAGACAGGCATATGGGGTAAACATTTTGCATCAGGCAGATACACTCCTTGGAGCATTTATCATGGGAGAACAGAAGGGGAATGTTTGTACAGGGAGACAGTTCAGGGGTCAAGAGTGCATGGGAGGGAAGGACATAGGGAAGAGGTAACTACGAGGAGGAAGTGGGAAGAGAGCTGTTACGTTGTGGAGAATTGCATTCAGTGTCAAATGAGGCAAAATGTATATGAACTGCTATATGGAAAATGAATTTGCTCTGTAAACTTTCACTCAAATCACAATAAAAATTAAAAAAAAAAATTAGGCTGCAGCTTCCTCAGATTAGCTCATTTTCTGTATTCCCTGTTTGGGTTGTTATCCAGCCTCATCCCAAAATGGCTGCAATGAATGAGTGCTTCAGATATTAGAGAGTAGTTTCTCCCAGCTTCTGTGCTGTTCCTGTTCCTCCTCTCCATTGCTCTGGATTCATCCTGCCTCTCCAGCATGTCACTGCCAGTGGGTTTCTGAGATCATTGTGCTTGTTTTTTTCCATTGTTCAGTGAGTTAGTTGCTTGGGGAGTAAATGGAACATCCACTCGTTGCAGCATCTTGCTCAACCACAGCAATTTTTTTTTTAATGTATGTTTTTTAAAATCTCAAGAACAAAGTTACACTTACTAATATTAATTTCGTATATTTCAAGTAGTGAATACATTTAACTTGAAAATAGAGATATAGGGATGTGTAGTCACAAGTTTTTAAAACTGTTGTGACTGCATGATTTTAAAAAATGTGTAAACCATTTGTGTAAATATCTACTGTATAAATGAACTTGACATATAATTTCATTGCTCACACTTTTTTTTTTTTTTCAGTTTTGTGATGAGAGAAGGCCAGATTACCATATGCTTTGTAGTGTGATGGAGGTTTTGCAGGGGTTTAAATAAAGTGTGAGTTGAGTCATCACATATGGTAGTAGAAACTTCCCAAAATGTAAGAATATTATATTCATCTGTCAATTGGATATATTTTGGGGAATTTTTTCTTAATACAAAACAACTTATCATTACTTATAGAAATGTGGTAGTGTGTCTTCAATGTAGATTTTAATTTTTTTTGGTCTTGGTTTCAGCAGTGCTTGATTTGATACCCATTCAGTGGAGATTTAAATAACTGCTGCTATGCTAACCTAATATTAAAGTGAAAAGATGCTTTGAAGAGTCAACAAGTGAGATCTCATTAAAATCAGTGTTCAAAGAATGTTTATTGGCAAAGTCTTTGTTAAATATATGATGTGATTATCCTGAGTTAGTAAACGGAACCTGGAAGTAATGAATACTATTTTGTAAACATGCTTTTGTGATATTATAGACATTTTTTTATAATTGAATTATATTGTAGTATATATGTCAAAATACAGAAAAAAATTAAGTGTAGAAGGAGGTATGAGGCTCTTTCTTTTATAAACAAAAAACAGACGTCATTTAGTTTTAGCAAAATTACATCATATTTGAAATGGAATTAATTTCCATAGAATATTATCAGCTTGGTAGTTTTGTTAGAATATTTAACTTATAATTTTGTCTTGATTTCATAGTTTTATAAGAACTACAAACTTAAGGAGTTTACTTTCATATTTGTATATATTGAAGTACCATTATACAAATAATTGGTTTAACATTTGAGCCAAGTGAGCATGTTTTTTTCTCCAGAAAAAACGTTTTAAAAATAGTACATTAAACATGTAGTTGGACTTCTAAACTTTAAAATCTAGTTTGTTTTCTGATTTGTTTCTCATTTATCCACATTTTTATAAATTTAATAATTTTATGATACATTGATTATGCTTAGGTTGTAGTCATTATACTGATGCTTTAAAATATCAATAGAAAAATGATTAAATTTATGATTTTAAGCTGAAATTAGTTTTTGATATAATATTGTATACATATATTTATAGAATGAAATTAGCCTTAAACAGGAAAACATGATCTAAAGAAATACTCTTATTTTTATATTGCTATTTGGAGGTTAGTTCCACCTGTTCAATAGTGACCTATAATAAAACAATATATGACTGATAATCACTTAAGATAAATTAATGGTTATTAAAAAAGGAAGATACTTTTCATTTTAAGAGAAATAGCTTTCACTCTTCTGTGAGATGAATCAGTAACAGCTGAAGAAATGATCTTTGAATGTGTCAGGGTTGGAATCCTTTCAAAACAGAAATATCGCCAATTTTCAAGAAAAATCACTGTGTTTCAGTTTTGAACTTCCATGTATTTGGAACATATACAGGAGAACATTTTCTTCTTGTTATTTCCTGCCAAACTAATTATAGATGCCACATTAGTTTTTTTTTCTTGTGTTTGGGAAGCCTAAATATATGGTAGAATAAAGAATTGCTTGAAATGTTTTCACCAAGTTTAATGATAGGAACAAGAAGAGAAGTATATGAGAGATTTTGTAATTTTCTTTTACAGAAAATATATGCAAAAATGAAATGTTTTATTGATTCAACAAATACTACTGAGCATCTACTATCTACTAGGCACTATATGTAGTGCCGAAGGCATTTGACTGCTAACAAGAAGGCTGGCAATTCAAACCTACCAGCCACTCCTTGGAAGGGAGATTGGGCAATCTACTTCCGTAGAGATACCGCCTTGGAAACCCAAGTGGGGGTCACTGCTATGAGTCGAATAGATTGGATGGCAATGAGTTTTGTTTTTTTGTTTATATTACTAAGTCTTGGAGATACAGTGGTGAATAAGACAGAGACCGTATATTGTATGGGAGTGGTAAACAGGGATGATGATGATTTTGTATTCATAAATGTTCTCTAGAAAATAAAAAAGTTGATGAGATAGTTTCTGAACTGAGATTGGAATATTATGAAGATCTAGAATAAGAGAAATCCAAATCTAGTCAGTAGGAATAAACAAAAGGCTCTCTGAAGTGGGAAGGTTTGGCTTATGCCTGGAATAGAATGAAAGTCAATGTAGAAGGAACATAATGAACATGAATTTACTGAATCTGGCCTGAATTTGGAGAGGTAGGCAGAGATCCGATTAATTGGGCCTTTCAGATCATTGTAAGAAATTTAAATTTTAACTATAATGGAGGAGTACTTGGAGGATTTTAAGTGGGAAAGTTTGATGATTTGACTTAAGAAAGGTGATTTTGATGGCTATAGGGAAGATGAACTGTAAGAGAGGAGAACGGAAGCAGGGAGCCACTGCTCCTCTGTTAATCTGGTCAAGAGATGATGGTGGCTGGTATAAGGGATATGGAGTGGAGCTACTAAGGAATGACTGGATTGGAGATGGGTTTTGGTGGTACAGTTTTTGCATATGCTGACATATTACATCATTACATTTTTATACTTAAGCATTTGGAATTCTGAAATATCAGTTTATATGGACTCTGTAAGTCTTGAGAATGTCAAATACAAGTAGAAATCTTTATAACATTTAGGGAAGACAAGGTAGGTCTTTTAACTTCCCTTTGCTATATGGCATAAACTATACCCTGTTGGGAAAAAATTTTAAATTAGTAACTTTAGCAAACCTACAGGCTGCTCCATGGAAGGAAGGTGGAGCAATCTACTTCTGTAAAGATTTATTGACTCAGAAGCCCAATGGGGTTTCTATGAGTCAGAATTGACTCGATGGCAATGAATTTGGTTTGGTTTCGGGTTAACTTTAGCCTGTGTGGATAAACTCATGGTGGATTAGTCTGATTTCTCTACTTTGTAACTTACATTACATAAGAATATGAAAAAAAATGATTAAATCCTCTTTAAACATGTATTGTGTTTAGAGTTGTGAAGTTATTTTTAGTAAAGAAAAAATGAACATAATAGTCACATGATACAAATAAGCTTTCTCTGTCTTTACCTTTTTTTTTTGTTTTCAGTTAAGTTGTATATTTACTAGAATTTTTTTTTCTGTTTTCTAGTCACATTGTTCTGATGCTTGCAGATGATATGGCATGTAACCCTAGAAATCCCAAACCAGCTACAGTGTTTAGTCACAAGAACATGGAATTAAATGTGTATGGAGATGATGTAGAAGTGGATTATAGAAGCTATGAGGTAAATTATTTCATTACTAATGTTTCTGAGTTGTAGTTGTTACTTTTAAGCTCTAAAATAGTGATAAAACAATATGCCTTTTTCTTTAACTTGTATAAAATTGCCACTGAATCTTTGGCATAATTCTATCCCCAGACTTAATATTACGGGAACAATGAATGAGAAAAACTGTTAAAAGATGAGCATTTTCTCATCTTTTATGTATTGTAGAAAAACTTTATAGTGACATCTATGTTAGAGTTTAGTAAAGTTGCAGGTATTTACTTTCTCTCATAGTACATGTATTTTCTTTTAATCTGATCTAAAACTTTTAGTTTAGCATTTTTAATAAGTACATTAATTGTGGGAAAATTTAGAAAATGACTAACAAAAAAATTCACTCATATTTCCACTACATAGAGGTAACTACTTTTTTATGCATCCAGTGTTTTTACGCACATATAATTAAAAATAAAAAATAAGAATTTAAAATATGGCATTATACTATATTTTTTCCTTTTTGAATTTAATTTTAATTTAACAGAATATTTTAAGTACATCTAAAATATGAAGGCTTCCTCCATGAAATCTTCATAGATAATTTTTCTCCCAGTTACCAAGCCTACTAAATTAATGACAAATTGAAGATGAATGAGGTAGCATTCTTTGTTGTCAAAAGTATAGAGCTGTCAGTGATAGGCTACTATCCATATGCCTACAAGGAAGGCCACTTAATACTACTTCTGTTCAATTTATGCACCAACTACTACTAAAGCTAAAGATAAAGAAATTAATGAATTTTACCAACTTCTGCTGTCTGAAATTGACCAAATATGTGATCAAGATACATCAATGATTCCTGGTGATTAGAATGCAAAAGTTAGAAACAAAGAAGAGTCGTTGGTAGCTGGAAAATATAGCCTTGGTGATAGAAATGATCCCAGAGATCACATGATAGAATTTTGCAAGACCAATGACTTATTCACAGCAATTACCTTTTCTCAACAACATCAATGGCGGCTATACATGTGGACCTAGGCAGATGGAATACACAGAAATCGATCAACTTCATCTGTGGAAAGAGGTGATGGAGAACCTCAGTACCATCGGTCAAAACAAGTCCAGGAGCTGACTGTGGAACAGACCTGTGGTTGCTCATATGCAAGTTCAAGTTTAAAGCTAAAAGAAAATTAAAATAATTCCATGAGAACCAATATATGACCTTGATTATATCCCACCTGAATTTATAGACCTTTTGGAGACTAGATTTGACACATTGAACACCAGTTGACCAAAGATCAGATGAGTTGTGGGATGACAACAAGAACATCTTACATGAAGAAAGCAAATGGTCATTAAAAAGACAGGAAAGGAAGAAAAGACCAAAATGGAAGTCAGAAGAGACTCTGAAACTTGCTCTTGAATGGAGAGTTGCTAAAGCAAATGGAAGAAATGCTGGAATAAAAGAACTGAACAGAAGATTTCAAAGGGCAGCTTAAGAAGATGAAGTAAAGTTTTATAATGAGATGTGCAAAGACCTGGAGTTATAAAACCAAAAGGGAAAAACACATTCAGAATTTCTCAAGCTGAAAGAACTGAAGAAAAAATTCAAGCCTTGAGTTGCAATATTAAAAAGTTATATGGGCAAAATACTGAATGATACAGGAAGCATCAAAAGAAAATGAAAGGAATACACAGAGTAACTGTACCAAAAACAGTTGGCCAATGTCCATCTATTTCAGGAGGTAGCATATGATCAAGAACCAGTAACACTGAAGGAAGAAGTCCGATGTGCACTGAGAAAACAAACAAACCCCACTGCCATCAAATTCATTCTGACTCATAGTGACCCCCATTGGGTTTTCAAGGCAATAAATCTTTATGGAAATCTGTCACAACTTCCTTTGGTGAAGTTGCTGGTTGATTTGAATTGCCAGCCTTCTGGTTAGCAGTCAAATGCCTTAGCACTGCACTACCAGAACTCTTTAAGCTGCACTGAATGAATTGACAAAAAACAAGGCTACAGGAATTGAGCCATTGAGATGTTTCAACAAATGGATGCAGTGCTAGAGATGCTCACTCGTTTATCCCAAGAAATCTGGAAGACAACTACCTGGCCGACTGATTGGAAGAGATCAATATTTGTGCCCATTCCAAAGAAAGGTGATCCAACAGAATGGAGAAATTATTGAACAACATCATTAATATCACAAACAAGTAAAATCTTGCTGAAGATAATTCAAAAATGGTTACAGCAGTATATTAACAGAAAACTTCCAGAAATGCAAGCTGGATTCAGAAGAGGACGTGGAATGACGGATATCATTGCTGATGTCAGATGGATCTTAGCTAAAGCCAAGAATACCTGTGTTTTATTGACTATGCAAAGTCATTCAGCTGTGTGGATTGTAACAAATTATGGATAACATTGCAAACAATGGGAATTCCAGAACACTCAGTTGTCATGAGGAACTTGTACATATGCCACAGGGCTGTCATTCGAATAAAACAAGGGAATACTACGTGGTTTAAAATCAGTATGTGTATACATCAAGGTTGTGTCCATTCACCATACTTACTCAATCTGTATGCTGAACATATAATCCAAGAAGCTGGACTATTGGAATAAGAATGCAGCATCAGAATTGGAGGAAGACTCATCAGCAACCTGTGATATGCAAATGACACAACCTTGCTTGCTGAAAGTGAAGATAACTTGAAGCACTTACTAATGAAGATCAAAGACTATTCTCTTCATTATGGATTACACCTCAACATAAAGAAAACAAAAATCCTCACAACTGGACCAATAAACAATATCATGATAAACAGAAAAGATTGAAGTTGTCAGGGATTTCATTTTATTTGGATCCACAGTCAACACCCGTGGAGGAAGCAGTCAGGAAATCATACATTGTATTTTACTGGGCAAATCTGCTGCAAAAGACCTCTTTAAAGTGTTAAGAAGAAAATATGTCACTTTGAAGACTAAAGTGCTCCTGACCCAAACCATGGTATTTTCAGTTGCCTCATTGCCTCATGTGCATGTGAAAGCTGGACAAGGAATAAGGAAGACCGAAGAAGAGTTGATGCCTTTGAATTATGGTGTTGGTGAAGAATACTGAAAACACCATGGATTGCCAGAAGAATGAACAAATCTATTCTGGATGAAGTGCAGCCAGAATGCTCCTATGGAAACAAGAATGGCCAGACTCATCTCATCTATTTTGGTCATGTTTTCAGAAAGGACCATTTCCTGGAGAAGGATATCATGGTTAGTAAAGTAGCAGGTCAGTGAAGAAAGGGAAGACCCTCAAAAAGATGGATTGACAGAGTGGTTACAATGACGGGCTCAAGCTTATCAAGGATTGTGAGGATGGTGCTGGATTGGGCAGTGTTTTGTTCTGTTTTACATAGGGTTGCTATGAGTTGGTGGCCACTTGAAGGCACCTAACAACAATGCTAACGTAAGACACAATTTTTTTCTGTATTCTGTATTTGAAACCCTTTTAAAAGTATATCTGTCTCCTTCCAGACTGTAAGCAAGTATCTAGCAAATACCTATAGGAGTTCTGGTAGCGTAGTGCATAAGGCACTTGACTGCTAACCAGAAGGCTGGAGGTTCATACCCACCAAGCACTCCTCGGAAGGAAGATGGGGCAATCTACTTCTGTAGTGATACTGCCTCGGAAACCCAAGGAGGGGT